CTGGGTCTTCGTTCATGGGTGAGTGCATTTCTGCACTTGCATAGTTGTGCTGTGCCTGTACTGCTTCATGAGGATCGATGTTTGTTGGGAAGTATGCAGGAGTGCCAAATTGCTCCGTAACGGGGATGAAGGGTGCCTCGTCTGCCATGCCTGCTGCTGGCTCAGTCGGTTGTTCTCCTGCCACGTCAACGTCGTCCTCGTCATTGGCGAGGCTGTGCTGTCCTTGGAAAATGTTGTCTGGTGCAGTGCGGTGCTGGCGGTACAGTGTCAGAGTCAGTCTTTCGTAGAAGATGCAGTCACGTGAACGCGTGAGCTGGTGGGTGGCGAAGTCCAGGATTGTCTAGGCGTGGTATTCAGATTCGATTCCGAGGTGAATGCCCCAGCGAGCGCGATCTTCAAATTTTCCGGTTCGGGCGGTGTGAGGGCGGTACTGTACCATGCACCCGAAGACTCGCAGCATGCGTGTGTCAGGGTGTTTTCCAGTCCATTCCTTGAAGGGTGAACTGTTGTTGGGCAGTGCCTTCGAGGAGAGCATGTTGTGCAGCCGAACTGCATGTGCCATTGCAAAGGGCCCGTACTTGGTTGGCACAGCCGACTGCTTCATGAGGGCTCGCATTTTTTTCGCGAGGCTTCTGTTGGTTCTCTCGGCCAATCCCTGTTGTTCGTGGGCATAAGGCAGAGAGATCATCCTCTTGATCCCCTTCTGCTTGCATAGGATTTTGAAGTCGTCCAACATGTACTCCAGAGCTCCGTCTGTCTGGAACGCCTTCAGCTTGTACCCGTCGCTTTGATTTTCTGCCATGGCGAGCCAGACTTCGAAGCAGTAGTAGGTGAGGTAGCGGTCCTTGACGTTCACGGCCCAAACAAAGCGTGTGCCGGCGTCGATGAAGGTAAGGGTGTACTGCTCCCCGCCGACTCCTTTCGCCGTGAGCACTAGGAAGTCGCTATAAACTTTCTCCAATGGTTTGTATCGTTTGGCTCCAGGAATCTTTTCAGCGAAGGGTGTGTGGCGTAGCGCGGCTGCTGGGCAGACGGTGCAGGTTGGTAGATCGGTTCGTGGTTTCAGCAGCTTTCCATCGGGCAGCAACAGTGCGTCTGCCGCAAAAACATTTGCGTTGATGCACTTGTTGAGCACTTCGATTGATGGGTGTCCCAAACGTTGATGCCAGATGTCTCCGTCGACCCGATATCCCTTGGTGCGCGCGTACAGCTCCTTCTCTCATGCTAATATTTCCTCCGTTGTTTCTTGTCTTGTTTCGTCCGCAGGTTCGTCGGGCACGGTGACTTGAACTGCCGCTGCTTGAATCGTCACGCCATGATACGTTCCGCTGGTGTCGCCGACGGTGGCAGTGTCCATCGTCACCGGTAGCTTCAGTGGCTCCTCTGGGTGCGGGGGCGAGATTCGTACGTGGCGATTATCGGGTTGCGTGATTTCTCCTTCTTCGAAATTGACGTCGCCGATCGCCACTCCCCTTGTCTCGAGGCGAAGGTAGTCCCTGCCGTCCGTCATGATGGGAAGTAGGTGAGGTCCGTACTCCGTCAGTAACTCTTACTGCTCTGCTTCTGGTGCCTCTTCAGTAATTTCCGGTTCCGTTGCTGCTTCTTCTACAGGTACGTTGGCAATGTTGTCCCATCCAGTTTCAGCTGCGATGGCTTCGCCCAGCGCGGTATTCTCCATGACCCAACGCATATCAACTGCGTCCCATCCTTCGGTGGTGTTCCAGCTGGTGGAACGTTCGACAGGCGGCCAGAAGGTTTGCGTGCTTATCGGCTCAGTTGTTGCGACTGCCGTTTCTCATGTGATCTCCTCTCCGTCTTCCACTGCTTGCGGTCCGGTTTCTGCAGGTTTCGTTGTTGAGGCGACGGGCACGGCGAGAGCGCGGAAGGTGTCGTCGAGGCCGGGTTGTTGATAATCGGTTTCTTCTGGGTGGCTCCATCTTGGCAGCGACGGGTGGCCCGGAGGGTCGAGAACAAGAATGTGTTCGTTGTCGCCAGAGGTTCTGGGCGACTCGAAGTCGAGCACGAAAACGCCTTCCACGCTTGTTGCCTTTCCGATGAATATGCCATTCTACATCAAGTGCATTTCGTCTTCTGTCGTTTGCAGGCCAACCCCGCACTTCATCAGCTGGTGGAGTGACAAGAGATTGTACCGGAGTTCCGGCACGATGAGAACATCGCTCATGTGGATGCAATAGCCGGTGTCGTGTGACTCCAGTTGTACTTGTCCGCGGCTTCTGGCATAGATGGTTTGACTGTTGGCGACGGTGATCTCCACTTCGTTGAAGAGTCGCTCTCTGTTGAGGATGAAGACATCTGAAGACACCATGTGCTGACCACAGCAGCTATCCTGGTACCACGTGTTGACTTCTTTTCTTGTTTTGGCCAGATTGGCAAGCTTTGGAGTGATGTGATGTTCCATGTCGTTATCATTTTCGTAGTCGTAGTAACATCCTTCGTCGTCGTCTGCGATGCGTGCAGGTGGCGACTCCTGAATCCATTCCGGTGCTTCCCAGTCAAACTGCATCCGTCCGACCGTCAATTCGTCGTAGGTTGGATCGTTTTCTTCTTCTTCTTCGACTGATCCTTTGGGCCGCTCCTGAGGAGGGTCTGCGAACATATCTTCCCAGCTACGGAAGAAGCGGTAGTGACGGTTGGGGCGAGGCGGTCCATGACGCACCATGCAAGTCAACACCTTGCTTTTGCCCTTGTCGCTTGTGTTCGCAGAGAGACGTGCTGGGGCTTGGGGCGTGCTGGCGACGGCTGGCGGTGACACAGTTTGGTTGCGCGCTGCGGCTCCTCCTTGCTGGTGAGTAGCGGCACCCTTCTGGTTGTTGTTGTTATCGTTCAGCTTCCAGCAGTCTTGAATCATGTGCCCAGTCTTCTTGCAGTACTTGCAGAAGAGTCTTTTCTTGTCCGATGGCGCTTGAGCGTAAAGGCGATCTTCTCCTTTTTGTTGCCTCTTTCGTTGTACAGATCGATTTCCTTCTGCTCGGAGAGAAGCGTGGAGCAGAGGGCAGTCTCACTGAGAGTGCCTTGTGTGCAAAGGAGGGACTTGCATTGGCGCCATTCCGGGCTCAATCCAACAAGGATGATGGTGACGAACATATCGTCAGGGAAGTTGCCGCCGCTTTTCCTGAATTGGTCTCTCAGGTTTCTGCAGCGGTTGATGTATGGTCCGGCCTTCTCGCCGGGAAACATCTTGACGTTGTTCAGCTGGTTGAGCAGGCGACTGAGTGTCACCGAATCTGTTGCCATGTGGCAGGTACGCAGGTGTTCCCAGGACTGCTGCGCGGGCGCCCATTCGTTTTTCAAGGGGCGAATGCTCAGTTGTTCTTCGGGCGACAGGTTTCGGATTAAGATGGTGAAGGCCAGGAGCGATTCGTTGTAGTATTGCGTCTTCTCCTGAGGTGAGCCGTTTGCTGGGAAGGGGTATGATCCGTCGTAGTACATCCATATCTGAGTGCCCTGAGCTAGTAGTTCAAATTTGAAGCTCCAGATGTAGAAGTCTTGTCCATCGAAGACCTAAACTACCTGCCGCGCCCCACAGGTCAGTTTCGCGTACTGTAGACGATTACTCCTGCTGTTGATTCGACTCTTGAGCTGCCACGCGGGTCGCAACCGCTGTGCTCGGTTGCACCCCGTTGACTCGCCACCAGGTTCAAATCCCTCGCTATGGCGAGCCCCTGTAAGCACATTTCGAACAGTGCACTTATAATAAAAGCATACAAACATATTCTCAACACCATCCGCCGTATTCATCGACGATGCTGGGACGGTCGGAACAGATTCATGGTTTCTCAACATGATTCGTAATTGGTTCACTTTTGGAATATCCCATTCAAGAGCGATTTTTTTTTCACTATTTGAGGCATTCTCTTGAACACAGTAAAAGGAAAGTTGTTCAAGATGTGCTTCAAAGAGTGCTTAAAAAAACACTCTTGAAATGATATCCCCTAAAAGTGAAATCGATTAGATAGGGTTGCTACGCAACCAAAAAAAACTAGTTGCAGATCGAGTGTAGATCCGGTACACCAGTATTTGAATTCTCTAGAAGTTAAATATAGGCAAGGTGTAGGTCTTGGCCTGGAAATGGCGGAAGCGTGTTTTTATGACATAACGTGGGGTATTTGGAGCGTGTTTTGCGCTCAGCGGATTGAAGTTGCACCACTTTTGCGACTCGGTTGTTGGAGTGGGTGCATGCAGTCCTCCTGCCTAGCGAGTCGTCCAGTTCCTAATCGGAAACGTGTACTGTATGTCCATCAAGAAAGCGAAATTGATGGCGAGAGCGGCGACTGCGGCGACTCGGCTTTCCACGCTGTACAGCAGCAACAGTCAAACGTAGGGGCAATACGTTCCAGACTCGAAAAGAAGCACGGTACAGTATTGGCCGCATATACGTCTGCTCACGCCCACTCAAAACTACTCAGAACGAAACATGACGAAATTCGCGCTATCAACCAAGCAGAGTTTTTCCCCAGAGCATAATGTCTTGATATAAGATAGCTTTGCCATACGTACTGCGACGATACGCCTTTGATATCAGGAGGCGGTAAGAAAGTCACACAAACATCCAAGGATCAATGAAAGGGGGCTCTGATTTCACTCACCGTAGTAGTTCCGTCGCGTTTCCCCTTGCGGTAGCGTCATGCGCGATCAACATTGTCCTCCTCGCAGCTCTCGCCGTCACCCTCGCACAGCCGAGCCTCTCTCCTATATCCTTCCAAGCTTCAGGCGAACCAAGGCTTGACAATACCGCCGAAGCTGATGGTGAGCCTTGGGAGGTCCCGCAACCAGGCAGCAGCAGCTATGGAAATGGCGAGATTGGCGAAATCGAGGTGCGAGTGGCAGTCGAACGGACTCACATCAATGCTACCGACTACAGCGAGGATATTATGAACCATGCATCGGCTAATAGCGAGTACGGGAACGTTTCCCTTGAGGCCAAGCAAGGGCCTGAGTTCGACGAGGAGGGATATGTATCTCGTGATTCGTTACAAGCAATGGCGAGCAACGTGGCTGTTAACGGGACGGTGGTGGTACTCGTTACAAACATCGGCTACGCGGACTTTCTGCTCAACTGGGCCGTGTACGCGGACGAGCTGGGGTACGGGCGGCGCTTCCTCGTGTTCGCGGAAGACAGCGAGAGCTTCCAGCTGCTGTCAACGAGGTTTCCGAGACAGGTGCTACGGTGGCACGTTCCCGAGATTGAGCAGGCAGGCGCTGCGGAATTGAGAGCCGCGGGAATAGGCGATGGGGAAGGGGAGGACGCGCACCAGGGGGAGGGAGAAGTGAGCGCTGAGGGACTGGCGGGCGGTAAAGCGCAAGGAGGCTCAAGGCGATTGCTGTCGGACAGTGGGGGACGCGATGGTACTGCGAACAGCACTGGTGGCCGCAGCACCAACAGCAGCACAGGCAACGGCAGCGGAAGCAGCAGCAGTCTGGCCTTTGCTTCCGCTGGATTCAAGCACATGATGTACCGCCGGGTCGCGTACATCCGCACGCTCCTCCACATGGGCTTTAACGTCCTAATCTGCGACTCGGACTTTATCTGGGTTAAGGACCCTTTGCCCTTCGTCCACGCTATCCCTTCCCCGCAAGCCATCCATGACAGCCGAAGCGACGGAGACGCGTTCCCCGTGAGAGGATACGACGTAGTGGGCGTGAGAGAGCTGCCGGATTCCGTCAATTTCAACGCCACGGGCACGTATCCCATGGCGCGAGCGTCTGCGAATGTGCTGACCGCGAAGCTGTGCGGCGGGTTTGTGTTCCTCAGAAGCTCCCCGGGCGGGCACCTGGTCCTCGATGCCTGGTCGCTGAAAATCGCTCGCGCGCGGCGAATCCGCGGCAACGAAAACGACCAGTTTTACCTCGGCGCGGCTATAAGCGATGTGATAAAAACCAGTCCGGCGCCGCTGGTGGGAGTGCTGCCGCAGAAGCTTTTCCCTCCCGGGTGGTTGTTTTTCAGAGGGGATAGTAACATGCCGCCTGGGACTCGGGAGGAGCCGTGGTGGCGATTGGAGGACGAGGAGAAGGCGAGAGTGGTGACTGTGCATAACAACTGGCTGATGGGGAAGAGTAAGAAGCTGGCACGGTTCAAGAATAATCAGCTGTGGAAACTCGAGGAGGTGTAAAGAGCTTTTGCGGAAGAGGGTGGCTTATGAATTTCTGTTCATAGAGTAACAATCTCTAAATCCATTTCTGTTCATAGAGGGTTGTATGGATGTTGATAACCATCACTAGTTACGGTAAGTGCAGTGGTACCATCTGGCACAATTAGGGCGTGTTCCTACGCTCTTATCAGGCAAACCTCTTGTCAGCCTTGCCTAGTAAAAGTAGAGAAGGTTTTCGGGTTTAGGAAATTTTCAGTGTGTTTTGACGCGAGCTTGATAAGAGGTGGCCTGATAAGGGGCTGTAGGAACACGCCCTTAGTGGTCAGGTTGCTACTGCAGCACATTATCCGACTCCGTCTTGTACCCCACGCTCACAGGGAGGAGAATGTTAGACTCTGTTCCACTGGATGAGAGGTACGGTAGATGTTCTCCTGGGATGCACAATTTGATGGATCTGATCATGACGGTTCACAGTTTACAAGCCTGGTGTCGTCCATACAACAGTCCCAAGTCAGTCATACACCTTACATTGCTACCGTAAACACTATTCACACGCGAGCACTACGAGTTGTGCTAGGTAATTATCCGCGCACATTCGGAAATGGCAACTGATACGTAACTCCGGCACGATGCAACCTACGGAATCTTACAGACCCCCCAACACATTCTACAGTAACTTGTCAACCCTGTTCATTTCATCAACAGATGCAGATGCCGTGCAAGTGCAGTGCTGCTACCTCCTCCACGGATCACCCACACTACACCCCTGTGCTGCAGCCAGGCAGTCCCCCCAACACAGCTGCCACTGCCCTCACCCTCCCACCTCTTCCTTCCCTCATTCTCCTCCCACACACCACAACCAACGAGCCCTCTCCAGTGCCGCCTCACAGCAGGCTGGGGTTGCCGAACGGGTTGGTCTGGTACCCTCCAGGCCCTGCGGCAGGAGCAGCAGGAGCACCATGGGGGGGCATGCCCACCGACCCGTATGTAGTGGGCGGGCCATACGGGTTGGCAAAGGGGTTCACTGGGGGCCCACCAGGACCGCCCATCCCCATGCCCATGCCCATACCACCCTGCATGCCCATGCCGCCCTGCACGCCCATACCCATCCCTGGGCCGCCACCCATAGGGTACCCACCACCAAAGCCTTGCCCTGCATTCCCGGGATACCCCCCTCCAGGCATCCCCCCCATGTGCTGCATGCCTCCACCCGGCCCAAAGCCCCCTCCCGCCTGCTGCTGCTGGTGCGCGAGCGTGGCGAGCTGCACGTTGGTGGGCGGGGGCACGTGGCGCGACGCTGAGAACGGATCATGCGGGCCCTGCATGCCCGGCGCAGCAGGGCCTGAGGCCTGGAAGGCACCGGGGGGCGCGGGCAGCGCGAGCATGGCGGAGGGGGGCGCGGCGGGGCCAGAGGTGGCGTAGGAGTTCTGGTAGGAGTTGGTGGAGCGGCGAATGGCGTCCTCGTACAGCGAGTCCAGTGTCAGCTTGTCAAAGCCGCCCGCCTGCACCGCACAGCCACGGAGAGGGGAATTGCATGGGAAGGGTGTGGTGTGGAGGGAAGGGGAACGGGGAATGGAAGGGGATGGTGAGCGGTGAATCAGGAAGGCACGGATGAGTGAGAGGCGGCAGGGAGGAGGAAGGAGAGAAAGTAGGGATTGGTTTGGCAGGGAGGGTACCAGATTGGAGTTGGCGTTGGGGTTGGGAGCAGAGACAGCAGTGGAGGAGGGTGCAGCGACGAGCGCCAGCTCCCACCCCGTGCTGCCATCGTGCAGCGCCGCACTCGCAGGGGCTCCGCCTGCCAAGCCAGCCGGGTGGGGAGAGGGGGGGACGAGACACGGAGAAACAGCACGGTTGGAGAGATGTGCGAGGGCAAGAGAGCTGGGAAGCAGCAGTGCCGCACCCAGTGGGGCCGAGACTGTGGCCCGAGTGAGTTGAGGCAACCATGTGTGCGCCTGCCTGCACCGCCTAATGCCTCACTCTTCAGTGCTTGCATTCCATGCCCACCACCTCCTCTGTGAATGATCGCAGGCATGGCGGCACAGGAGAGCGTGTACGTGTGCACGAGGAGAGGGGGGGTGCATGCGAGTAAGGACGCGGCAGGGAGCAGTGGGTGCGAGCATGTGCATGTGCATGTGCATGTGCATGTGCATATGCATGTGCATGTGTGCGGGAGTGTGTACCTTCGGGCACGATGGCGAGGGCGAGGGCGTTCTGCTGCTCGATGGCTGCTGCATCAGGGGGCGCTGCCACCACCTCGTCCGCCACGTCCTGTCACGGACGAGGACAGCGCGGGGCAGGGGGGGGGGGGAGGGGAGAGAAGGGACACGGAGAGAGAAGATGGGGAGTGTGGAGCCATAGAGTGAGAAGAGAGGTTGACCAAGGGGGAAAAGAGGTTGACCAAGGGGGAAAAGAGGTTGACCAAGGGGGAAAAGAGGTTGACCAAGGGGGAAAAGAGGTTGACCAAGGGGGAAAAGAGGTTGACCAAGGGGGATAAGAGGTTGACCAAGGGGGAACTGCTTTTTCTGCAATGCGGGCTGCTGGTAGCATGCAGTGCAGCAGAACACGTGAGTGTGCGGGGGGGTGGCAGGGGGGTAGACGCAGGTGACTCACCACTAGGAGGTCTTGAGCAGGGGGAGGGGGAGGTGGGGGAGGTGCAGGTTCCGGTTCCGGAGGTGCTGGGGGCGGCGGTGCCTCCTCCTCCTCCTCCCTCCGCCTCGCCTCCCTCCTCTCCCTCCTCTCCGTCCCGGGTGTCTTGTGACTCACGCTCTCTGAGTGCGACTGGCGCACAAGGAGAGAGAGACACACAGGGCAGCAGGGGTGGGCACATGAGAAGAGACATGGAAGGGGTGAGCAGCAACAGGCGAGGAGTGAAAGAGGAGGCGTGTGGAACAGCATGACAGCAGCACTGTGCTGTGCACCACCAGAACTGGGCACATGCAAGTGTTAACAACTCGCAGAGCAGGCACGAGGAGAGTGAATAGCAGGAGAGTGAGCAGGAACTTTGAATGGGGAGAGAGGGGAAGGCACAGCACTGACCGCGTGGGACTCAGCGGGCATGCCTCCGGAGCGAGGAGCCTCGCGCACATACTCCTCCATGGTCGTCAGGAACGACTGTGGCGGCTGCAGCGGTCAGCGAGGGCGGGAGGACAGGGGGAGACGGGCGAGTGGGGCACAAGATGGGGGGACGGGTTAGTGGAGAGGCGTGGGGAGGGAATAGCTGTGCTATGGATGCATGGCGGGACGCGGACAGCACAAGCGGGGACCAGTGCAAGGGGGGAGGGGGAGGAAGTTGGGGGTGAAAGTGGGTAGTAGCACATAGCAGACGGGGGCAGGGGAAGAGTAGGAGCGTGAGGTCAGAAGGGGCTTGCTGAAAGAGAAGGCCCGGTAATGGGTGAGGGGCGGTGCAAGCGCAAGCAAGAACGGCACGAGGCGCGGTGAAGGGAAGAGAAGGGCGGGTGGGCAGCGGCACCTGGTCGAGAGTGGGGAACTGGAAGCTTCTGGAGAGGTCGAGGCCCTTGCACATGTCGTAGAAGGATGAGAGCCGGTCTGCCTGCTCACACACCCGTGACATGCATGGGATGGGATGGGGGAGATGCGTGGCGGGAGAGGGCACGGGTACATGTGGAGGACGGGTCATGAGTGGTGGCGTGGGTGATGAGCGGTGGGATGCGGTGGACCTGAGACGAGCAAGGACGCACGCGGTGTGCAGAGTGTGGTGTGTGGCTCACAGCGCCCACCCCTACACGCTCGTGTGCTCACTCAAAGCCTCACGACAACCCACATGCATCTCCATGCACACATACACACAACAAGCATGCACATGCGCGCGCATGCCCACAGACACACCAACACACACACGCACACGCACACGTACACGCACACAAACACCACACGCACCTGCTCGCCTGCCCGCTTGTAGATGGCAAGAGCCTTGGCAGCATCCACTCGCGACATCTCAAAGAACTGCACGCACGGGCGCACACACACGTGCCGGGGGGAGGCGGAGGAGGGGGGGGGAGAGGTGTTGATGGCGTGGGGAGGGGTGTTGATGGCGTGGGGAGGGGTGTTGATGGCGTGGGGAGGGGTGTTGATGGCGTGGGGAGGGGTGTTGATGCATGTGAGGTGAGGACGCACACACACGCGCAGGGAGACGGGGGGTGGGGAGGAGAGAGAGAGGGGGGAAGGAAGTGGATGGTGTGGGGAGCAATGGTGATGCATGTGAGGTGAGGAGGATGCAGGTGTAGTAGCGGGGAGTGTGTAGCGGGGAGTGTGTGGCGTGAATGCTGCTCAACATTCACTCCACATGGTACCCATGTGCATGCACTGAGACTGAACCACAACTCGCTCTGTGCATGCAAATCCCCTCTCCTGGCATTGCATGCCATTGAATGCCATCCCATATCCACATGCCACACATGGCCACCAACCACACTGCCACGTATTCTATTGGCCGTGCAGAAAATCCATAATATAGGGATGACAGCCCGTTCGACCATCTCACCATACTGGCACACAATGATGCATGAACAAGTGTAACAGGGATAGAGGCGGAATTGAACATGCATTCGCTACTGGAAGAACACTGAAAAACGGGCCTGTGAACTTTTTTTCTTCCTTACCTTTGTCAAGGACGTATGGAACTAAAAGTCTGCAAAATAACAGCCGCACATATTCGGCACGTATATAGATCAGCCTTTTTTAACCGTATCTGGCAAGTAGCTGTTCCATCCAGTCGCTGCACAGGACGTAAGTCCCTTGTCATAGCACCTAAGGTGGTATCTTGTCTTTCCCTTCCTCCACCTGACTTCCATTGCTTCGCCTGCCACTAACTCACGTGTTACTCTATTGCGCTCCTTCCTCTTTTGATGCCACAGCACAGACAGAGTGCATGTGGTACAGTGTGGTGCTGTGTGTGTGGTGTGTGGTGTGGTGCGGAGTACAGGGGTAGCGCACCTTGTCAACGAGGTTGATGATGCCATCGTTGATGGCACGGTACAGCTTGAAGCTCTCCTTCACCACCTGCACCATGCCATCGCGTGCCATGCCATGCCATGCCATGTCATGCAACGCCATGCCATGCCATGCCATGCCATACCGTGCCGTGCCATGCGATGCCATGCCATACCATGCCATGCCATGCCATACAATGCCATGTCATGCAACGCCATCCCATGCCATTCCGTGCCATGAAATGCAATGCCATCCCGTGCCATGCCATGCCATGCCATGCCCACCGCCCCCATGTGTAATGGGGGGCAGCGAGCAGGGAGGGAGGACGCGAAGACTAAGTTCAGTGTTGGAGATTGAGGTGCAAGAGTGATGCTTGCCACGGGAAGGGTGCACGGAGGGGGAGAGGGGGGCAAAGATCTAGATGGCAGGAGTGAGCGAGAGAGAGAGAGGAAGTGAAAGGGAGGGAGGGGGAGGGGCCAGTGGGAGAAAGAGACGAGTTTGTTAAGGGGGACAAGGGGTGGGGGAGTGGGAGAAGGGGGCGTATGGCAGCACTGACCAGGCCGAGCGCAGCTTGAATGACGAAGCTGCCCGCTGCTGCTCCCTCTGGCTGCCACGTGCACACAGGCACACCGACGGGTTCAGGCATAAAAGGGGCAGGCAGGACGGCCATGCGAGGCTGATGAGCAGGAGCAGAGCAGAAAGCATTGTGCGAGAGACGAGGCAACAAGGATGGATGGGCCTCGCATGCATGAGGCGCAGTGCAGGCACGAGGGACGGCGAGCGAGGGGGAGCAAAGGGAGGGGGAGGGAGAGAGAGGATGGGAAGAGGAAGGAGAGAGAGGGAGATGGAGTGGGAGAGGAGCTAGGGGCGTACTTGGCAGCCCATGAGTCGGTGCAGCAGCGACTGCAGGGCGGGCAGGTGGTCCAGCAGGTCGGGTGTGTCCAGCTCCCGCGTGCGGCTGTGCGACTGCTCTCACGCACGCACATGCACGCCACCACAGCAGCGCCACAGGGCAACGGGTGATTCGCAGGGATGATGATGACGGGTGACATGTGCGGCGACAAGCATGAGTTACATTACATTACATACAACCAGGACGGCAAATGCCATGCGTTCTTGCCCGTGCATCCCCTCTACCTACAACTCCCCATGCTGCCACATCCCACCCCCGTGCCGCCCAGTGCCCCCATGACCTACCGAGGACTTTTCAGCCTCCACGTCGTATTTGAGCGTGCGGAAGCACTCGAGGCGCTCCTCCAGGTACAGCGCGTACGTGCGCACCCACGCGCTGTAGTCCCACGCTGCCACCCGCACGGCCAGGGGTGGTGGGTGGGACGGACGGGGGAGAGGGTAAGTGCGAGAGAGGGAGAGGGCGTGGGGAGCAGGACGGGGAGGAGGCGGCGCTATGTAGAGAGAGAGGCATGCGCGTGAGCGCACGGAACGCAGCGGGCATGCGCAAGGAATGGAGTGTGCATGGGGCGCGCATGGGGGGTGTGTGAGTGCGGGAGGCACGCAGCAGCAGGACGCGGTGGGGGCAGCATGGGGACGGGGTGCGAGGGGGAGCGCCAAAAATGTAAGTGCAGGTGACGCGCCGAGACACAGAGAGGGAAAACGGTGCGCACGAAGCACGGCGGAGTGGGCAGGAAACGAGGGAGAGGGAGGTGCGAAAGGGCCGGGAGACGCAGGGAAAGGTATGGCGGGGCGTAACGTGCCTGCAGGGCCGGACTCGTCCTTGAAGTTGGAGAGGTTTAGCGTGCGCCCCCTGCGCTCGTAGTTAATGAGCTCCTCCCTGAACGTGGGGTCGCCCTCCCTCAACGTGCGGTGCATCACCATCAGACACTTGAGCGCCACCTGCACGCCGTGCCATGCCCCACGCCGCACGCCTCAAGCCCAAGACGACGCCACATGCACGTGTAATGAAGCCCCACGCCCCATGCCCCACACCCCACGCCCCATGCCCCATGCCCCATGCCCCACGCCCCATGCCCCAGGCCCCACGCCCCATGCCCCACGCCCCATGCCCCACGCCCCATGCCCCACGCCCCACGCCCCACGTCCCATGCCCCACACCCCATGCCCCAGGCCCCATGCCCATTCCCCATGTCACATGCCCCATGTCCACGTAAAATGCGTCATGCGCCATGCCCCATGCGATATGCGCCATGCGCCATGCCCCATGCAATATGCGCCATGCGCCATGCCCCATGCAATATGCGCCATGCGCCATGCCCCATATGATACGTCACGCTCGCACACCCACAAGACGGACAGAAGACAAGAAGCCGGTGGAGGAAGATCAGTGGCGGACGGGAGGTAGTGCGGACAGCAAGAGAAGGAAATTAGGGGTATCAAACTTTAAAAAACCTGACAGTGAAAAAGAGGCGGGTCCATAGCCGGCGGAGGGAAATGGAGCAGAGAGAAGAGGGGCAGTGAAACGACGAAGGAAGGATGGAGAGGGAGAGGGGGAGGAGAGGCAGGAAAGGCAAGGGCGGCCAGGCGCGGAGTCGGTACTTACACACCAGTTGTGCGTCTTGCCCAACCGCTTGCCTATCTGATGGATAGTATACGCCACGTCAGCTCGCGGCCGAGACGCTGACGTGTACGCGAAGATCGCTGCGCAGGGATGGGAGGGGGAGAAAAAAAGTGATCGGGAGAAGAGAGAAGAGAGAGAGGGCGAGGGCAGGGGGGTGAAGGGAGGCCGAAGGCGAGGCTAGCGCACTCGCGAGGCGTGTGGAGGATAGCGATGTGCTGTTGAAAGAAAACTAGTAGCCACGACTATCACGTGCGGCGCGCGCGCACTGCCAGGTGCACCGCGCCCGCCCGCTGCACCCCGAGCGTCGATCCGCGTGCCCTCGACTAGGTCTCGTCTCGAGGAGCCTGCCAGCGCGACCATCGCGGGCCCTGCGGTCGAGCGCATCCGCGCCGCCTACACGCGAGCGAGCAAGCCCGCTGTCCTGCCCTAGCTACGCTGCATCGCGCACCGAGCCACCGCGAGGCACGGCTTTACCACGGTTGGCGCAGCACGGGATGCGCGACAACGAAGGCGGGCGCGCAAGAGCGCAGGCAAGGAACGCAGGATTTAAATGCCAGTTGCGGCGCCGAGACGTGCGCGATGCGGGAGAGAGCGCGGAGTGGACGGATGACAGGCACGCGCAGCATATCGGCAACGGCGAGCGCGATGCAAGGAGGTGGGGGTGCGGCGGGGTGGAGGCAGGACACTCACTCCGCACATGCTTCTCCTTTGGCGGCGACTCCACGTGGTTGGTGGCCTTCACGATCGCCACGTCCAGGTCCTGCGCACAGCCGAGACACCACAGCACACGCGCAGCACGCGCACACCACGCGAAACACGCACGGATTTGCTTGAACCGCGAGCATGGCGCGTCGCCAGGCGACGAGAGCGAAACACGCACACTGCAGCGGCTGCTGCATGCCGTTAGGCGGATACGGCAGCTCGCGTCGCACGCCCCGTAGCAACGAGTGAGGCAAATGAAAGTGGTTAAAAAAAATGGAACGCCAGAGATCGCACGAGATCTTGCGACGAGCATCGCGATCGCGCAGCGATGCTGCGAGTTCGCTGATGAAACTCGTAATCCCAATCAAGAACACGACGTGCGATTTAAACCTCCGAGAGAGTTGCGGATACAAGCGCGTGCGCGGAGCGGCACCTTATAGTCGCTGTTCATCCGCGCCGCCGCCACCTTGGTGGCGTCCGTGATGTTCCCCCATGCCGCCTTCATCGCCGCTCCCGGCGCTCCACCCCCGATCGCCCGGCAAAGCGGGCCGCTTGGAGCAACGAATACTGAAACTAGGCGAGCTGCGGCAGCGTGCGAGCGAGGAGTAGCTGAATCAGGGCACGGTAACAGAGAGCTATGGCACTGCAAAACAACTTACCAGCAGTCTCAAACCTTCCAGAATGGGAAGGGAATCTCGAGAATGTACTGCAGGAATTAGGGCAACTAGAGAATGGATGGCGGGAACGCACTGGGACTGGCGGGAGGCCTTCGGGATTCGGGCCGCTCGCGACATGAGGGGAAGCTACAAGCGGGAAGAAACTTCGGTGGAAGCGGGCGGAAATAGATTGTGATGCGGCGTGGAGAATTGCGGGGTGGGGGTTGGAGGTCCACGGAGGACCCAGGAGGGCACCGGCGAAACCCGCAGCTGAGTGCGGAGCGGAGGAGGTTCACTTTCGGTGCGGCTAGGGGGCACCCTGGTTTCTCCTGTCGGCCGACTCTGGAGCCTGGAGGTTGCCCGTTGGTGCTGGCAGAGCCTGACCAGCCCTGGCGAAGCGAGCTGGCTCGTTTCGGGAAGTGCTGTACGCATCAAGAAGCGGAATCGACATTCGCTATGGCTTGATTTCTTACGTCGTGAAACATTTTTGGGTTCCTTAGCCACCATGATGTCATGAATTTTCCCTAATTCCTTACTCAGGCAATCTATGCGCGTACAATAACAATTCCAACTTTCAGAATTCAGGCTCGGTCCGACGACCTTGCCTTCTGAACGTCCCTCGCGTCGCCTTCGAGTTTCCCAACCCCAAACCTGCACCTGGCCTTGCGCAGTCCCGCAACCATGGCCTAACTAGCCTTCACTATATGTGAAAATGAACGAGGAATGAAAAGACTAAGGGAAAGTTGGGTACAAGTACAAACCCTAGAAAGCTGTACCCCATCTGTGCTACCCCACTATAGCCTACAGCAGCTAAGTCATATAAATCTGACACACCCCCATAGGCAAAGTGGGGGAGGACAAAGGGTCACAAGACCAGTCAAGCAAAGCAAAGCAAGCTCAGGGTGGATCACAACGTCACCACACATTCCGAGCACAAGTTCAAGGCCACAAGGCCAGTTCACATGCAGGATCACATATATATATAAGGCTAAACAAGCAAGAGCAGGTGTATATATATATGTAACAGTACAAACAAGGTCAAGGGGTGAGCAAGTGAGGCAAGGTAGGCACAAGACCCAGCTGAGTACAGAAGCGCTGATGATCACAAGGCGCAAGTGCCTTGGTGAAGATATCAGCAGTGTTGGCCTGAGAGGCCACGTACGCAAGGCGTAGCTGACCACGCTGCTGTAGCTCACGAGCAAGGAAGTAGCGAAGAGCAATGTGCTTCGTTCTGTGCTCCAGTCTCTGCTCCCGACACAAGGCCAGCATGGCCTTGTTGTCTACGTACAGCACTGGAGGAGAACGAGGCGGCTCTCCGAGGTCAGTCAGCAGGTAGGTGAGCCAGCGAAGCTCCTGTGCAGCCATGGCCCCTGCGTAGATCTCAGCCTCACAACTGGAGCCGAGAACAGAAGACGAGCGGGTAGCCCGCCACGAGACAGAGCCGGAACCAAGGCTGAAGGTGTAACCCTGTGACGATCGCTGCGTAGCCTGGTCGTCAGCCCAAGAAGCGTCTGCGTGCCCAGTGAGGACCACTGGACTCTGCCCTCCAAGCACAAGCCCCATGCCCGACGTACTGCACAAGTAGCGCAACACCCTCTTCGCTGCAGCCATGTGCTCCGGTCTGTGTCTCCCAGGAGCAACATAGCGTGCGAGAATGCTAAGAGGGTATGCAAGGTCAGGTCGAGTGCAGGTCATCAGGTACATGAGGCAGCCAACAAGCTCTGGGTACGGGCCACTCGACTCTACGGACTCATCCGAAGGCAGAGCTGAGAGCGAGTGGCGAGTAGGCAGAGGAGTGGCCTGAGGCGAGGAGTACGTGAAGCCGAAGCGCTGAAGGACCTGCTGCACCATGTGTGACTGAGTCAGGGTAATGGTGCGGCGTGCTCTGTCCCGGGTGATCTGCAAGCCAAGGTAGCTGCGCAGTTCACCCAGGTCTGTGCACGTGTGTCTCTTCTGCAGCTCGGACTTCACGTGGGCGAGTCCAGCAGTGTCAGCTGTGGCAAAGACCAAGTCGTCGACGTACACGAGGATGTAGAACGGCGGCAAAGAAGTGTCGGTGCGCAGAAACAGCGACGGGTCGGCAGTAGAGGGAGCAAACCCAAGAGCCGCAAGTGTAGTCCTCAGTGTGTCGTGCCACTCACGCGGTCCCTGGCGGAGACCGTAGACTGGCCGCCGGAGGCTCCACTGGGTGCCAGGAGGAAAAGTCCCAGTGAAGCCAAGTGGGCGGCGCAGCCAGATCTCCTCGTGTAGGCTGCCCTGCAAGAAAGCAGTGCTGAAGTCAAGAGAGTGCAGCTCGTAGTCACGGTGAGCAGCTATGTGCAGCAGTACCCGAAGAGTGGTCATCTTCGGGGTGGGAGAGAAGGTCTGAAAGTAGTCAACTCCCTGCCGCTGACTGAAGCCACGAGCCACGTAACGCGCCTTGAAGACAGGCGGAGAACCCGGCGGCCGCTTCACCCTGAAAATCCACATGCCACTGACGATGTTCGCCCCAGGCGGGGGAACCTCGTCAACGTAGGTGCCTGTGGACTTCCAGGAAGCCATCTCTGCGTCCATAGCTGCCTGCCACTGAGAGGAGTAGGGACCCTCTATCGCCTCCGCGTAAGAGCGCGGAGTCGGGATGTCAAGTGCATCCGGGTCTCCCTCAGGGGTAAGCAGTACGGACACGAGATGAGGTGAAGCAGCAGCCAAACACTGGAACTCCTCCTGTCTGTCCTCAAGGACGTCCGTGCCAGAGGCACACTCACCCCCGACGGACGGAGGACAGACAGACTCAGACGCAGCAACAAGACTAGCAGCGTAGTCTAGACGACAGCGAGCAGCAAAGTCGACGAGCTCAGCAACTAGGGCAGACGCAGCAGTGGACTCAAAGGAAGGGTCAGTGACAACAGTAGCAAGGAGACGCGTGACAGTCGGACTGGCAGCACGAAGGGAGTCCGACTCCGGGTCAGCAAGAGCAGGAAGAGAGGACTCAGGAGGAGAAGGCAAAGGGGCACGCAGAGGAGCAGTGGACGGACGGAGAGACATCCGGTGCGTGCCGGGCACAGGGGGAGGACGCTGACGCGAACCACGACCACTAGCGCGAGCAGCACGGACAGGCGACGCAGGACGAGACGCAGGCTCACGACGCTCAGCAAGACCTCCAGTAGGACCAGTGTAGGGAGAAGGAGCAGGCAGTGGGGAGGCCGGCTGTAACTGTAACTGTGACGGGACAGGCTGTGGACACTCTAAGGGAGGAGGAGGACCAGTAGAAGGCGGGAGACCAAGAACCTGCTCAAGAAGCGGAACGAAGTACGGCCGAGGCCGCGCAGCGACTCCAGACACAGCAGGGACAGCACCAGTACCCCCAGTGGTAGCACCAGCGCCAGCAGCACCTCCAGCTCCAGTACCCCCAGCAGCTCCAGTAGCTCCAGGACCTCCAGCAGCACCAGTAGCACCCCCAGCAGGACCGCCTCCAGTACCGCCAGCAGTACCCTCAGCGCCAACACCCTCAGCAGCTCCAGCTCCAGTAGTACCCGCAGGCCCAGCAGCTCCAGTACTCCCAGTACGAGCACCTCCGGGACCCGTGGCACCAGCACCCTCAGCAGCCGAAGAACCTCCAGCTCCAGCAGCACGCCTCCAGCGCCGGGCAAACCACTCACGCACCTCCTGTGGAGAGAGTGGCTCCCGTCGAGACGGAGCACCCAGAGAACCTCCAGGCCCAGCACCGCCAGACGCCACACGAGCAGGCCCAGCTCCCTCAGGCTCCGCACCCCCAGGCTCAGCACCTCCAGGCGTAGCACCCCCAGGCTCGGCACCCCCAGTCGTAGCACCCCCAGGCTCAGCACCCCCAGACTCAGCACCCCCAGGCTCAGCACCCCCAGTCGTAGCACCCTCAGGCTCAGCACCCCCAGGCTCAGCACCCCCAGGCGTAGCACCCACACGCTCAGCACCCCCAGAGTCAGCACCCCCAGGCTCAGCACCCCCAGCAGCACCAGAGTCACCAGCGACCTCCACAGGCTCGACTGCGTCTACCTGGGACACACCTGAAGGGGCAGGACCCTGAGGGGGAAGGGGGTCTACCGGGGGGGGACCTGGCACAAGGAAGAGCGGAGGCGGGGGGAGGGACGGAGTGCGGTAGGGGAAGAGACGGTAGTAGGGGACCGACTCGTCAAACGTGACGTCCTGGGAGGACAGAACACGGCGAGAGGTGGGGTGGTAGAACTGCCACCCTGGCGCGTCAGGGGGGAAGTCAAGGAAGACGCAGGGAGCAGCACGAGGGGACAGCTTGTCCGCAGACAAGTCGCGGACAAACGCCCGAGATCCCCAGACACGGAACGCAGACGCATCGCCAACCTTCCCCGTCCACAGCAAAGCTGGGGAGGTCTCCGGCATGGAGACCCTGGGCTGAAGGTTGATCTGATGCGCCGCGTACCGAACCGCAAACGGCCACAGAAAATGGGGGGCAGCCGCATGCATCATGGACGTACGGGCGACGTCCATGACCATGCCAATGCGGCGCTCAGCAATCCCATTTTGCTGTGGAGAGTCCGGAAGCGTGAAGGTCTGGCGGATGCCTCGTGCACGACAGTAGGCTCGCAGAAGGCCAGAGGAGAACTCTCCGCCTCTGTCAGAGTGCAGACGCAGAACAGGAAAGTCCGAGCCGAAACTCTCTCTGAGCTGGAGACGAGCTGCGCGGATCCAGTCGATCAACACCTCAGTGACATCACCCTTGCTGCGCAAGGGGAAGACTGTGGTGTAACGCGAGTAGTCGTCAACCACCAGCAGGAAGTAGCGCTCGTGACCCTGTCCACGGACGCGGGCCGGGCCCCACACGTCCATGTGAAGCGTCTGCAGCGGGGCCTCTGTCGGA